TCCCAGCGGTTAGGACGCCTGGCGGCAGGTCTGACAGCACGAGCGTTACGGTGGCGGCTGCTGACACTGGCAGCGCCGATAGTGGCGGCGGTAGTGGCCGCCCGTCGAGTCCGAGTACGCTGGCGGTTGTTGGCGCATCCATTGGCGGCGTGGTTGCCGTACTGTTGATTTCCTTTCTGGGCTGCGTCCTAGCCGCGCACTACTACCGTCGTTGGGAGAGGCGGCAGCAGGCGGGGAGCAACGGCGAGGTCGCCGCCGATGCTCCGGGCACCGCAGCCTGGATTCACAGAGCAACGACGGCGGCGAAGATCGCTGTATGCGGTCTGACCGGCAGCGAGTGCCCCAGCGCTGCTGACGAGGCTGTTCCGCGGGGCGGGGGCAGCGCCGTCGGTCCAGCTGCAGGTGCTGCTGCCTCCGCCGCCGCCGCCATCAGCCGTACAGTTGCTGCCGCAGCCGCCAGCGACACCGCTGCCCACCCAGATGGGCCTTTTGGATTATCGATTCCACCGCCGTTTGCTATTGAAGATGATGCCATGGCGGCGGCGCCGGTACCGCCCAATGGGGCTGCTGCGGTCGCGATGTTCAATGCACGGCGTGCGGGAAACGGCCGGAGCGCCGCCAGCAGTGGCGGCAGCGGCACCAGCACCACTGCCGGAACCGCTCACGCCGTACGACGGGCCACATTCCTGGCACATCCTACTTCAGCGCCGTCATCTCTGCCATTGCAGCCGCCGCAGCCGCAGCAGCAGCAGTGTCCGATGCCTCCGTCGCCGCCGCCACCGCCACCATCACCGCCACCATCACCGCAAGGGCAAACCTGGTCCAGTTACGATGAGGACGTAAACGCGGCCAACCCGCTAGCGGCGGGAAGCGGCGCCGTACATGGTGACAACAACGCCCAAGCCATCCTGACGTCAAGCCTCTCTCTCCCAAAAGGGCAACAACTGACGGAGGGTGGCGATCGTGCCGTCGCCGCCGCCCTCGGGGCCGCCGCCGCCCCCGGCGCCGCCGCCGCCCCTCCAACCCCAGCAGTACTGCATTCCGGCCTCGGGTCGTGGCCTCCAAGGCCGAAGCCGCCGGTGCCGCCATCTGAATGGGGCGCTGCCGCCACCGCCGCCGCTGCGGCCGCGCGGGACGGTCCCGAAAATGATGTTACAACGCTCCTGGCACAGGGTGCTGGCGGCGGCGGCGGCAGCGCTTTCCAAGCAGCAATCCGTCCACGGGCCTGCCGTGGCATGTCGCTGGGCGCATTCATGGCGGCGATGGCCCAGGAGTTGTTGATGTTCGGTCCGCAGCCCGACATCTACAACATTGCTCGCCTCCCGACTTTGCTCGGTGGCGGCGGGGTTGGGGCCAGGGAAGAGCGGCACGTCTTCAAGAGCGGCAGCACAGGCGTCGCCGTCACCGATGGTGAAGCCATCGTCGTGGCGGGAGAGCAGGCTACTGCGGAGCTGTCCGCCGCTTCCGCCGCCGCCGCCCCTGCTTCCCTGGTCTTTGGCTCGCCGCCGCGGTTGCAGGACGCCGAGCCCAATGATCCCATGCTCCCACCGCTTCTGCCCCCGTCACCTTTCCTGTCGGTCCCACCGGGTGGTACGACATCTTCAGCCCTTGGCTGGGGATCTGCGGGAGGGCCACGATCGCTGACGTTGCCGACGCCGTCGGGGATAGCAATGGCGGCAGCTGCCGCCGCCGCCACCACCACTGGGATCACGGCCATCACCAACGCCCGACTGCCTAGCCAGGGTGAGAAGCAAGGACAAGAGAAAGGTGCAGCCCTCCCCGCCGCCCTGTCCTCGCCAGCACAGCTGCTGGACCGGATGGTGCTGCCGGCGACCGGCGCCAAGCCCGGGCGGACCAGCGGCGTTGGCGGCAGCGGCAACGTTACCCCCCGGCTGCCAGGACCGATTGGGGGAGCTGCGTCAGCTGCGGCTGCTACCGCCGACGCCGCCGACGCCGCGGAGCCCAATCCCATCTTGGCGGACAGGGCTACTGCCGTTATCGGCGGCGGTGCTGGCGGCGATGGCGATGGCGGCCGTGTGCGCCCGCCCTGCTCGAGGCTTCTGACGCCACCGCTGGCAGCGTCCTGCCAGTGTTCACCGTTGCCGGGCACTCGGGCTTTTCCCGGCTGTATGGGCGCACCTCGCCTAGCTGCTGGCGGCCATGGTGCGTGGAGTGGAGCAACCGCCGCGGGGCCCGGGGTACCCATCGGGGATCCCGTGGGCACTGAGGCGGAGGCGGAGGCGGTCCCAGCCGCCGCAGCTGCTGTGCCCGACCGCAGCCCCGTCCCTGCCACAGCCTGCGGAACTGCTGCTTCGCCCTTTGCCCGCAGCAACACGGTGGCTGCCAGGGTGCTCCTCGACCTGGCCAGGCCTTCCGGAGGGAGAGCGGCAGGGGGAGCGGCAGCCGCACCTGCCGCCGCCGGGCCTGGCCCTGATGCACACTTCACCTTCCTCCGGCAATCTCAGCAGCAGCCTCAGCAGCTACAGCAACAGCAGCCGGGTGTGCACCCCCCTTACCCCGTGATGTTACCGGGAGCTATCGTGAACGGCCCCGTTGCCGCGGCGGTGGCGCCGGTGCTGCCCCCACCTGCACCGGCACTGGGGTCTGGTGTCGTCGTCGGCCTTGGCGGCTACGGTGGCGATGGCTCAGGCAGCGGCGCGGCTGCCCATGGTCCCGCCGGCGGGGCTGTCGCCAATAGCGGGGGTAGTCTGGTCGCCCGCGCCAACACTGTAGCCGCGGTAGCCGTACGCAGTACCGCAGTACCAGCCGATAATGTAACAATGTAGCGG